TTTGAAGACCTCCAGAGTAGGAGACTCCACAACCCCCCTGGGCAGCCTGTTCCAGTGCTCTGTTACCCTCACAGKAAAGAAGTTCCTCCTCACCTGGAGACGRAACTTCCTGTGCTCCAGCTTATGGCCATTACCCCTTGTCCTGTCGCTGGCCACCAATGAAAACAGCTTGTCCCCTTCTTCCCTACATTCTCCCTTCATGAACTTACACGTGTTAATCATATCCCCTCTCAACCTTTTCTTCTCCAGAGAAAACAGGCCCAGTTCACTCAGTCTCTCCTCATATGAGAGATGTTCCAGTCCCTTAATCATCCTAGTTGCTCTTCTCTGGACCCTCTCAAGAAACTCCACGTCCCTCTTATTCTGGGGAGCCCAGAACTGCACACAGTACTCCAGGTGCGGCCTCACCAGAGCTGAGTAGAGGGGCAGAATCCCCTCCCTTGACCTGCTGGCAACACTCCTCCTGATGCAGGCCAGGATCCCATTGGCCTTCTTGGCCACGAGGACACACTGCTCACTCATGGTTAACTTGGTGTCAACCAGGACTCCCAGGTCCCTCTCTGCACAGCTGTTTTCCAGCAGGTCGACCCCTAATCTATACTAGTGCCTGGGGTTATTCCTCCCCAGGTGAAGGACCCTGCACTTGTCCTTATTGAACCTCATGAGGTTCCTCTCTGCCCAACTCACCAGCCTGTCCARGTCCCTCTGGATGGCAGCACAGCCCTCCGGAATGTCGGCCACTCCACCCAGCTTGGGGTCATCTGCAAACTTGCTCAGGGTGCACTCCGTGCCCTCGTCCAGGTCACTGATGAACAAATTGAGCAGCACTGGGCCCAGTACTGATCCCTGGGGGACACCACTTGCCACAGGCCWCCAACTGGACTCAGCCCCATTTATCACCACCCTCTGAGCTCTGCCATCCAGCCAGCCCTCGATCCACTGCGCCGTACACTCATCTAGTCCACTCAGATTTTAATCAGAGCAGACAGCTTTTAATTTATGCCCTACTTTACACCTTTTAAAGGGTGTAAACTCAAGATTAAATGAATAAGTTGAGGTAATGTGCTTAAATCATAAAAATATGTGTAAAGTGCAAATATATGGCTTGATTTCCTATCTTTGTAACAGGTGTTACTCCTACTTCAGTACTTATCGTCTGTGTCCAAGCTTTTGAACACGTGCTTATTGGTGGACTCTCAGCTTGTAATCCAGGATGAACTGTTGAAGCCTTTCCTGGGAAACAGCTTCATGATCCTCTCCATTCGCTCTAAAGATGGGCTTGGTAATAAAGAGTTTAGTTTTCAGTATAGTCCAACAGATGTAGGTCTGKATTTAAGTATCAATTAAATTTAAAGTGTCAAACCTTGTGGTAAGACTTGGCTGTTCAAACCTACATGCATGCTTAACAGGTTTGATTTTTCTATATTCTCTTTGCAGATGCTGAGTTAACATCTGCACTTCATGAAACATGGATGGACTACTTCGATTTTCTAGCTACATTATTGTGGAAAAGTGGCCAAATATCCTTTCCATCTGTGACAGCAGCTCTTGGAAATCATTGGACAGCAATAATTGGTAATGCCTTTCCCTGGATGGTTTTGCAGCTAATTAAAAATTACCATGCCAGGTTTTTATTTTTTCCTTAATTCAGCTTTCCTAATTCTTTCTTAGGCAGTCAGACTTAATTCTGAACTGTTACATAAATTCACAAGTTCAGTTTGCATGTATGGTAGCGTTACTAACTGTAAACCTTAGGCAGATACTGTACATTTGAGCCTGGAAGGTCAGTTAATATTTTGCTTTCTCCTCATATGTACTGTTTTACCTTATACAAGAACAAGAGCAAAAAAAATCAGCGGCGATGAGGAATACTGCAATTCAAGATGTTAAACAGTCATTTTTTTTTAAATGCTTTCCTGGTTGCTTGTCTAGTCAGGGCTCTAGGTCTGCAAGCTTCTCTAACATGTTTCAACATCGAACATGGTCTATTCAAGCTTGTGATTTCAGTCAGATTTATGTTAAGTGATCTGGCAAATGTAAGTCTTGCTACATGTCAAACAAATGTAATTAATGTCAGTACTACAATGTACTGAATTGAAATGAAAGCTGTAGAATAAAGTGAAGAGCATTCAGCAAAAYGTTAAATAAATGAATGCCTTAGCAAAAGGAAAAATGTTTTTTTAACTTCCTGGTCAAGTTAATGGATAAGAAATAATTCTTTCAAACCTTAGGTAAAACTTAAACTTTCCTTGCTTTTCTTAAAAGACTTACTATTAAATGTATAAATTTGTAGGATTCCTTATGAAGTACTTTAATGAAGCTGCGTCTTGGCTCATGCATTCTTTGATCCATTTTCCAAAATTCTAAAGTTCTTTAGCTTGTTATAGAATGTAAACACCTTTTTTTTTTTTTCCTTATTTAACATTTCAGATACCATTTGTGATTGCATTAATCTGTCAACCACGTGTCCTGATTTATATAAGGCTAGTTTACAGTTTTTCACTGCCCTTTTGACCGAAGAAGGAAAAAGACAACTCAGTGATAAACAGAGCATATGCCAGAATCCAACTGTAAGTTTTCTTCTAGATGAGGCTGAAGGATGTCAGACATCAGTAACCCAACTTACTGGATTAATAATTCAGGTATTTAAATTTTGATAATATAATTGTTGGATATACTTTTATACTTTGTTAAAAAGGAATGTTTTATCTAATGAATTAGTTTAGTCTTATCAACTGAGACATCTTTCATCCGCTGTGTCTGTTATTACATAGAGTTCAAAAATAAGTGTGAACTGGAGAAGTTGCAGAGAAGCAGCTTTTAGGCAGTGCCTCTCAAGACAATTACTGTCATACTGCAATAATATGATATGAAATCTTACATGGGGGAGAGGTGCATGAGTAGAGTATATTTGACGAAATACTGAAATGTTTCCCTTTATCAGGTACAGAGTGGGAATTTAAAGCTTAAAATATTATTTCCACTGTAAATAACAACATCATTGTTCTTAAGCTGTCTAATCATGAAAATTGTTACTCAAATGAGCATGAGCCATTATACACTATCAGGAAATGAACTGCAGGGTAAGATTGTCATTGCTGCAATATAGGAGCATATAATAGTGTGTTTTCCAACCTAGTTTTCAGTCTGCCAGGTATTATATTTTCATTTGTTCCTTTGGGAATGTGTTGCCCAACATAATATATATTACTGACAAGCCGTATTTCTAGCCACTCATTCTCAATGTTTTCTCTTTCCTCATGTAATCTCATTATTCTTATTTATACTTGCTTGTACTGTCCTAAATACTTCCTTTACTTCTTTCATATTAATAACCTTCATACATTTACTAGCTGTTAAAATTTCTTCCATTATTTACTAGTAAGACAAGATATATATGAAATTTGTACCTAATTTATCTTCTTTCTCAGGTCAGTTCTATCTAAGTACTCATTGTCCTTCTTTAAATCATGTGCAATTTGTCCTGAAGCAATAACAGTGATCCATGAGTAAAATGTACTAAACGGTTGAGTAAAGCTGAAGCACTTCCCTTTACTAATGCTTTCTTTTTGTTAGTTTTAGAAGTGTGTTTGTCTATGAGATGATGCAAGCTTCATATAACCTAATGTGACTTATGATTTCTAAATTGTAAGATCAGGAATCTAATGTCTAGTAATTATGTTTTATAAAAATTGGTTAATCTTATTTTGAATTTTTTTGTTTGTTTTGTATCTGTGGATGTATCTGTATGTTAATAAAATAACACCCTGTTGGTAGCACTGAGAGACACTCAAAGAGGACCATAGAACAAATAGTACCGTTTAAAAAACTGTATGCAAAAAAAGTACAATATTTCTCCAGAAATACTCAAGGATACAATCAACTTTTTATCTATCTATCTATCTATCTAAATGTATGGGTGGGTGGGTGTATTAAAAAAAAAAAAAAAAAAAGGCAATCAGTAATCTCTGTTAGTTACCCCAACTACATAAATAAGATCTACAAAATGAATGATAAGTAGTGGCACACTGAAGCCTAGGCCCCTGTCTTCAAGTATAGATATTATCAGACCAAGCCGCGAATTAAGAAATTTTGCTATATGCAACCAATTTGGTAAATATGCACCTGCTGACTTTAAATGGTCGCAGTATTTTTTTGTACGTGAAGTTTAACATGTGTATATAAGTTTGCAAATCAGAAGCTAATTCAAAAATGCCATTATTATCATAATCCATGCAAGTTTAGACACTTTTTTTTTTTCCTGTAGGTGTAACACATATAGTTGGGCAAAATCTTTGATCTCTTGACCTTTTTAGTCCTGGCTACACAAAACATTTCAATAAATTGTAACTTCAGAGCAAACATTGATTTTTATTGCATATTAAAGATTGAAAAATGTGTTGGGCAATTTGTAGCTAGAAGACTAAAGCCAATAAAAGGTGATATGTGATATATGTTGAGGTCCAATCTGTGAAGTCCTTTGGCTTCGTACTCCTAAGATTTCTGACTTAAATATTAAGGTTTTTATTGGGATTCTGAATTTTAGAATATACTATTTCCACTTATTTTTGGATATCAGTATTAGGTTTTTATTTTGGGGAAAAATGGTGTGCAATATTCTGTTATGGATAATATGAAAGACCAGTCTCTGTTTTATAACTGTCTTGTATGACTCCAGTAAGTGTAATCTCTGTACTTTCAAATGAATATTCATGGTGTTATTACTTAGGAGAAAGGCGGTGCTCTCAAAGGCCTCACGTGGATGCAAAAATAAGACAAGCTAAGTTTTGGTTGAAACTCTGCTAATAATTATTTGTATGCCAGTGATATGTTTATTCTAAAGAAATTCACTAATATTCAATATCTGTTCTAGAACATTCTCTTGAAAATAAACAAGATTGTACTAAAAGAATATTCAAGAGGTGTCTCTGATAGCATGGCTGCAGATTAGAAAAAGTTTAGAATGCCAAAATTGGGAATCTAGTCTTTAAGAAGGTAGAACATAAAGAAAAGAATAAGAAAATTGGGCTTAGGATCAAAGGATTTTTTTTAAACCTTTTAGCTGAGAAAACAGTGAAGCAGTTTGATGCAAGTAACCTGTAAACATGAATATGTGCACAGAGAACTCCAAATAGGAATACACTGATGAATCACCAGAATGTAAATATAGTCTATAACAACATATTTATACATATGAATACCACTTTTTAATATGTTTGAGCTCTTCTCTATTATCATAATTTATCTTGGATTATTTGTAGGTCTATGAAAGAAAATCTTCAAAGGATGTCCTGAAACAAGCTGCTACAAGTGCATTGCTATCCCTATTAGCTGTCAGTAGAAATGCCCAAAAATGTGCTTTAGAAGGTGAGCACAAGAAAATATCTTTTAAAATGTATGTTAAATCCTTTATAAATCAAATGTTTGCTGCTGTTTTAAACGCTTCAAAAATCGTAATGCTCTTTATCAAAATATCTCATTGTCAGGAATCTAATTCTTTAAGAGTCTTTTACAGATTTTTTTAATATCTGTAAATAAAATCTGTGGTTAGATCACATTCTGAGTTACAGTAAGAAGAAACCTGAGCTTTTACTAACAACGGTTTATTCATCCAAGTGAAACTGGAGGTCACCTTGCACTGGCAGTTGTTTCAGTGGATTTGCGTTTCTTCCTCTTGTCAACTGTTTCATGCTCGGCCAACATGGTGTTGCAGGTGAAAGCACGTCTGGYCGCCTCTCTTTGTGCTCGACCCAAATGCTCTTTTGTTTGTTGCTTTCTTCCCATTCTACAGTTCTTAAAGTGTCAGCCTCTCCTCCTGGAGGCAACATCTTCCATGTCCAGTAATTTTGCATTTTCAGTAGTAAAACAAAAAATCTTCAGTCAACTTTTTGAGCACCAGAATGCAGGAGAGACTGGTTTATTTGAATTTCTTCTATAATACACTTAATATTTACTGATGCACACAGATGCAAATTTTGTTTGTGAAGTTTTCTAGGTATTTGCATTTCCACGCTTGATTCTTTAAAGATCCTATTGATATAGATCATATTGAAATAACTTGATACATCTGTTCATGGTCTGATCCCAGTGCTAGTATCAAACTCTGAAGTTCTAATGATGCTTTAAATACATGTATCCGTCTCCTGTGTATATATACATCTCCTCCTCCCTAACACRCTGGTGGTCCACTTAGCCCTTGTTTCAATCAGGATTCTCCTTTTGTTGGTATCACAAGCAGTTATCCAAGAGACTTGGCTTTTTTTCAAGGCAATACTAGGATAAAATTCCACGTTTCCTGTGCTAGAGCAGTCTTCAAGTCATCTTCAAGTCCCGCTGCATTAATGCAGCGCAAGTGATAAAGAGGAAGAAGTTCTGAAGTGAAAGCTAGGTCCTGAAAGTGTTTGTAGCTTTAACACCAACTCTTCAGCTCCCCGGGATTATTTTTTAAGGGACCAGAAAACATACACAGACAAATGCAAAATCCTGGGAAGGAGCCACTCAACACACTACAGGCTGGAGCTTSGCTGTTGGAGATCTACAGAGGGCCTGCAGGTCTCAGTCGACAACAAGCTGTACATAAACCAGCAGTAATCTCTCACAGCAGGGAATAACATCCTGTCGGGTATTACAAGAAGCAGAGCCAGCAGATCTAGGGGAAGGATTATCCCCCTCTACTCAGCAGTGCTTAGACTACACCTGAAATGCTGCATCTGGTTTCCAGTCCCCAGCATAAAAATGACATTAACAAACAGGAGTGAGTTCAGTGGAGGGGCCCTGAGATGTCAGGGGCCTGGAGCACTTGCCCCCTGAAAAGACACTGAGGCAACTGTCCTCCTTCAGCCTAATGAAGAGAAGGCTTCAGGGAGACCTAATAGTGAGTGACCTTATAGTACCTGTGAGGTTACAAGAAGACAGAGCCAGTCGTGCCTTGTATGGGAGAGTGAGAGACAAAGACTATAAACTGAAACAAAAGGTTCAGACTGGCTATAAAGAAGTGG